CAGGCACCAGGTCTCAGGAAGGGCCAGAGACCACAACAGATAAGGAAGGCTGGAGGGTGGAATCTTCAGGACCAGGTGAATGTGACTGTCACCAGCCATATTCCATCTGGGTCTTACAAAAAAAAAAAAAAAAAAACGCTGGTGGTTCACTCCTGTAATCTAGCACTATGGGAGGCCAAAGTGGGTGAATCACCTGAGGTCAAGAGTTCTCAACCAGCCTGGCCAACATAGTGAAACCCTGTCTCTACTAAAAATACAAAAATTACCCAGGTGTGCTGCCAGGTGCCTGTAATCCCAGCTACTTGGGAGGCTGAGGCAGGAGAATTACTTGAATCCAGGAGGTGGAAGTTGTGGTAAGCTAAGATGGTGCTATTGCAGTCCAGCCTGGGCAACAAGACCAAAACTCCGTCTAAAAAAAAAAAAAAACCTGAGAATGTGATCACATGCAGAATTCAAACAGTGAAGCAAAATAAAACAGCTCTGTAAAGAGTTTCTGAGGCCCAGCAGGTATGCAGCCCTGTGGGGAGATCCCATCTGATCAGCTGGTCCAGGACTTGTTTGGGAACATGCAAGTTGCAGTAAGTGAAAAATATAATGACGATGGTGATAACGATGGTGGCAGTGATGGTGGTGGTGAGGGTGATGGTGATAGTGGTGATGGTGATGATGGCGGTGGTGACTGATGGTGGTGGTGATGATGGCGGTGGTGGTAAGGATGATGGTGATAGTGGTGATGGTGATGGTGGTGGTGATGGCAGTGGTGAGGGTGATGGTGGTGATGGTGACGGTGGTGAGGGTGATGGTGGTGGTAAGGGTGATGGTGATAGTGGTGATGGTGATGGTGGTGGTGACTGATGGTGGTGGTGATGATGGCGGTGGTGAGGGTGATGGTGGTGATGCTGCTTGTGATGGTGATGGCAATGGTGGTGAATGCAACATTCACATTCTTCCCAGTGCTAAAGAACTTCCTTAGTGCTCAGTCCCCAGCCTGGATGCCTTGGGACTCAAGCTAGGGTCTAGGGAAAGGACCAGCTCCAGAAGGACCTTATGCTAGCACTGTGAAGAGTGTGTCCTGCCCAGATGTGAAAAGGAACAGCCCCTTCCTCTGCACCTTGCTGACAGACCACACATGTGCATGGGGAAGATGCTGTAGCTAATAAACAGGGAAGAATCAGAGAGCAGCCCAGACCTCCCTAGCGCTCCTTGGATGCCCGGGTTCCTCCTGCTCCTTCCCCTTACTAAGGGCAAAGGCAGGGTGCTTTCTAGAAAAAACAACCAGATGATTCTGCAGGAGAACCTGCTGCAGGAGAATATGGTGTTCTCGTTTCTTAGGAAACCGACACCCTAGAATATGGAGTAACCAGACTCAGTTGATACAGTTAGCTACCCTAAAATTGTACTTTACATTTAATGTTGCCTTTACAGAAATGGACCCGATGGCATAGGCCCAGTAGGCTGCTGACCTCTAGAAAGACTTTCTTCTCGAATGGATGATACCAGTGGCCACTTTCTCGGGTTATTGTTTGGACAGAGTTGGATGATACAGCACATACTGACGGAGGGAAGCTCTCTTAAGACACGGTAAATGAAAAGCAGGGGCAGAATGCAATCCCTCTTGGGATTTTGGATAGAATCTGATCCTTCTGTATAAGGTGTGAAAGAAAACACACCTTCAGCCCCAACCTACGAAGTTAAGCTCCTAGCAGGCCACATGACAGGCAGGGGTCAGTAACCCCGGCCCTTTCCCCACGAAACCAGTTAGCACCTGGAAAGCAAACCTCCTGTTCAGAAGCGCACAGGGCAGGGCCATCACAGCCCTGGAGCAACCCTGTCTTCGGCCTCAGGAATTCAGTTAATGGGTACCTGGCTGCCCCTTGCCCAGTGGGGCAAGCCGAGGCCTTGAGCTAGTTGGAGGCGTGGTTGCTCTTCCTGAAAGGAAGTTGTGTCCCCTTCCTAACTCTCTGGGGTCCTTGGGCAAGCCAGTTGGGCTCTCAAAGCCACTGTTACTGTCTCTAAATGACAGAGGCCCCACCCCCACCCCAACTCAGAAGGAGAGCAATCAAGCCAATTGCCACACACCTGAATACTGACTCCAGGTCACTTTTCAAGTGTAGACAGCACCCCTCCCACTTAAGTTCCCAATTTTTGTTTGCCCCCTCCCTGCTTACTAGAAGTTAGGAAGCAAGTTTGTTCAGCCTGGGAAAGAAGCAGGCAGATAAGAGAGGGTGGAGGCTTTAAAAATGTTATCAACATGCCAAAAGCTAGTCATTCAAGAAGGACCAGAAAAAGCCCAAGGTTTAGACAAAGCTGGTTCCTAGAGCCCCCCACCCCAGACACTGTCAGGGAGAGGGAAAGAAATCTTCACTGCAATGCCAGGACTCTGATAATACTGATTTCTGTTAGAGATGCTCTTTAGAAACCTCCATCTAGAAACACCTTTTCCTGCTGCCCTGAAGGCACAAAAACTCAGTCAATTTCTTTCAATGTCTCCCTTCCTGTAGATGTCTCTAAAATTCCAAGGAGTGTAATTATTCAGAGGTAAGGGATGCTGGCAAAACACCTAGCAAACCTGAGAGTTTACAGATGTTTACTATTAGTAATAAATGGTTTTCAGATCAGCAATTTGGGACTTTCAAATAGCAGCTATCTGCCAGGCACGGTGGCTCACGCCTGTAATCCCAACACTTTGGGAGGCTGAGGTTGGCAGATCATGAGGTCAGGAGTTTAAGACCAGCCTGACTAACATGGTGAAACCCATCTCTACTATAAATACAAAATAGCCTGGCATGGTGGGGCCGGCCTGTAATCCCAGCTACTCAGAAGGCTAAGGCAGGAGAATCGCTTGAACCTAGGTGGCAGAGATTGCAGTTAGCTGAGTTCGTGCCACTGCACTCCGGCCTGGGCAACAGAGCAAAACTCCGTCTGAAAAAAAAAAAATGTATTTTACAGACATCTGAAATTTACCAATCTGAACTCTAAATTCATCCCAGCCCCTGCCCTAAGGACTCCTTCAAAACTCAGGACATTGAATCTCCACATGATCTGTGTTCAAGTCAGAAACAGAGGTTGTGGCTGGGCCTAATGGCTCACACCTGTAATCCCAGCACTTTGGGAGGGTAGGGCAGGTGGATCACTTGAGGCCAGGAGTTCGAGACCAGCCTGGCCAAGATGGGAAAACCCTGTCTCTACCAAAAATACAAAAATTAGCCAGGCATGGCGGTGCACATCTGTAATCCCAGCTACTCGGGAGGCTGAGGCAGGAGAATCACTTGAACTTGGGAGGCAGAGGTTGCAATAAGCTAAGATCACACCACTGCACTCCAGCCTGGGTGACAAGCCTGTTTAAAAAAAAAAAAGAGGGAGTTATCCCGGATGCCCTTCCTCTAACACGGAGTAGGTGCCCAACGCTGCCACCTGGCTGGCCTCAGCATCCCGCCTGCCTACACGCCTGCTCCGGAAGGAGCAGAGTCAGCCTTTAAACCAGGTAGGTTGGGTCTCTCCAGTGGTTCTGTCTCTATTGAGTCTTGACAGCTTGCTGTGGCCCTGGCTACCTCTCCAACTTCACCTCCTACCGCATTCCCCTAACACATCCCTCACTGCTCCGAAGGTTGTGCTCCATCACAGAGGCCCAGGCCCACTCCTACCTCAGAGCATTTACACTCCCTGCTCCTGCTGCCTGGTGCACTCTGAACAGACACCTACTTCTGTCTTTCACACCCAAATGTCCTCAGATTCCCCAAGATTTCTTTTCAGAGGCCTTCGCTGCCCATCATGCAATTCCCCCATCACTGCCTCCTTACCCTCCTTCATTTACTTCATAGCATGTGGGTATTTTAGTATTTGCTTTCGTCTCTCCCCTGTGCCCATGGCATAAGCTCCCCAAGGACAAAGGCTATGTTTCTCCCCGGTGTATTTCCAGCACCAGGAACAGCGCCTGGCACACAGTAGATACTGAGCACACAGCTGGGGAAGGAATGCAAACCTAAGCACTGCTCTTACTTCCTGCCTCAGACATCACTTCCTCAGAAGCCCCACCCCACCCACCTCCACCATGTAAATTGTCTCTCCCTTAGTATTCTTTATCATCTGTCAAAGCACTTATAAAATAGACAATTACCTGTGTTTGCACTTGTAAAAGTTAACATCTGCCTGGCCTTCTGGACCAGGATCAGCCACCTACACCCTGAGGGCCACCCCCAGGCAAGCCTTTCGCTGGCAGTGAGAAATGGCTGCCAATGCTCCGGGTTGCCAGAGTATCCCCTTGGCCACTCCAGTGGAGTCTTGTGGACTGACTGAGCTCACCTGGGTAACATGGTCAGTGGTAAACAAGGCTCTGATTGGCTGGGTCTGGGTCATGTGCCCACCCAGGAGGAATTGAGTGGTTCACAAGGAATGCTGGGTGCTATTACCTGGGGAAGGGAAAAGAGATGTTGGGCCAACCTTGAAAAGTGTGTATCCAAGGACTCTTTCCATAATGGAAAAAGGAACTAGTGTAAAAAAATTCACCAGTACAGCCAATCTTTTTTTTTTTTTTTTTTTGGAGACAGGGTCTTGCTATATCACCCAGGCTGGAGTGCAGAGGTGTGATCACAGCTCACTGCAGCCTTGAGGGCCTGGGCTCAAGCGATCCTCCCACCTCAGGCTCTTGAGTAGCTGGGACTACAGGTGCATGCCACCATACCTGGCTAATTTTTGTATTTTTTTGTAGAGATGGAGTTTTGCTATATTGCCCAGGCTGGTCTTGAACTCCTGGCCTCAAGCAATCCTCCTGGCTGGGCTTCCCAAAGTGCTGTAATTACAGGCATGAGCCACCACAGCTAGCCTTCATTGGTATTTTTTACTAGCACATTAAAAACACCCAGCTAATAAGCAGAGAAAATCACAAGCCTCTTAAAATTCTGCTTGTATGCTTTTCCTCCTTGCTGGACTGTTAAGAGTTGCAAACAAAGGCAATAAGGAATTTCACAAAAGAAATGAGAGACAAAACAAGGAACGATCAGTAGTTTGCTAAATGCCCTGTTTATTCTGCAAACAAGGCTTAGAAATGTATAGACACAATTTGTAGGTTGGAAGATCTCTGTATAGTTATGACTTCAAAACTATACTTCACAAAAGCAGTAATGAGGGCAGCTTAGGAACACATTAACCTACCATTGTTTTGTTCACAGCAAACACAGTGAGAATAGATTCCTAAGGCCTGTTTCTCTAGGTGACTGTCACATTTTGCTGCTCTAGTCTTTAAGAACAAGTGGAGCCTTCACTTGAGCCGCCATTTCCTTGCCGTTCAGGGCTTCAACAATTGCAAGTGCAAACTCAAAGCTGGTCCCAGGCCCACGGCTTGTAAGAATCAGGCCGTCCTTTTCCACCCGATTCTCAGAGTAGGTGTAATGACCTGCAAAGCAGAAACAGAAAAGGTGACATCCTAATGGGCTATGTGACAAGAGAGAGGATTACTTACCAATTCAACTCACTATTATAGCATGTAACTAGCCATTCAAAAACATCTACTCGGCACTCCAAGCTCTTAGAAGCCCTCCACAAAAGTATTTTTAAAACTGTGTAGAGTAGAGGCTGAGAGAAACCAGTCAGAATGAAGTATGTGTAAGTTAAACGCATCTGCTAAACTTTAAGTGTTGGGGGAGTGTCAGTGAATGACAGTTACATCACTATTTTACAACAAAGCTCAAGTGTCAATTCAGAAGTGCTGGGGGATGGGTGACAGGGGTACAGCAACGCTGAAAGCAGAAGCCACCGGGATCAACCTGTGGTGGCACACACACCCTGATGCCTCAACACAACAACAGCACAGCATAATGGAGGCAGATATGCATGTGCATGTGCAGGTAGAAACATTCATTCTCAAAGACTACTTTCCTTCTGTATCCCCACACTGCCATGCCCTCCAGTTGATTATTTCTTGGCAAATATAATATGAAAACTGGGATTCTTAAGCATGAATGCCTTGAGCTCTGCCCTCCATAGCAGGTAGTCACCAGTCTCTCCCACTGTACACAGGGCCTAACCTCCCTCCCCACACCCGTCCCTATCACTCTCCCACCTGGAGTTTCCCTTACTCAATACAACAGGTTCTCTCCTGCTCCAGGAAGAGCTCAAGGGCTGCTCCCTTCACCCAGAGACCAGCTCTTCCCAGTGCCTTGCCCCTTGGGTTTCGGTTTGGGTATCAACAAAAACCCCTCAAAGAGGGTATCTGTGACCACCCCCACCCCCCCAAGTTAGGTTCCTCTGTTGACTCTATCACTGCATCCTTTACTGCCCTCCCAGCATTGGCACAATCTATCACAATCTATAAACATTTCATTTCCTTGTTTATTGTTTACTCTTTAAAGGGCCTGGGCCTTCATCAGTCCGTCTGGCCAAGGATATCCATGGCATAAAGGAGGTTCCCCTGAAGGGTGAGGTCAAGGCCACCAAGCACCATTCTTGACTTGATCTCCTTTCTGTACCTTTCCCTTCCTTAAAAGGGAAGAATCTGCATGATTATAGCTCTCCCTCCCAGCTGTGCGCCCCTTGAACCCATCCTAGCACCCAAAAGCTAACTCTTCAGAGTGCAAAGTGGGGTATAGCCAGTTCCCCATGGAAAGCCCTTGCCAACTCTCCAGCACCTGGTCACACTGAACTCCATGTCATGGAGCATGGAGCCCTCTTCGGTCTGGCCTTTGCACAGAGACTGGGCTGGGACCAGAAGGGAGAAGGAAAGGAACCTGCTGTCTGGGTGGGAGCTGGTGGTGCCTGCACTAGGCTGGTGACAGTGATCCAGAGGAAATGAAGGTTTGCAATGAAGGACTAGGTGAGGAGGCTTTAAGGATGACTCACAGCTATCTGTCCCAGGTGACTGGGTGATGCTGAACCACTCAGTGACGTGGGACACAGAACAGATTTAGGGAGGGGGAAGTAACAGAGCTCCTCCATGAACTCGTGCTCTATCCTGATGCACCAGCCACACAGGCAGGCGGGTGGCTCTGGCCACCAGAGCTCACCACTGTGCCTGAAAACACCCCGAGGGCACAGCTTCCTCTTCTTCCTTTTTCTGTTCCCAGTGCCAGGCACTGAGGAAGAGCTTAGGAAACATTTGTTCAATGAACACACAGAAAAATTCATCCAAAAACCTCCCTTCAAACAGAAAAAGAGTGCTTCTGCTATATGAATGAGCTTTTGAAACCACGCAATATTCACCTCTTTTCCGAGGAGATTAACAATGACTACAGGAACTTTATGTCTTATATGTCACTAAAAAAACAAGCTACCGGCTGGTCAAAGGCGGTGAGTTATCTCAATTGATCGCTCAGTCAGTTACTCCCAGCTGGTAGAAGGTGGTGAGTTGTCTCAATTGATCGTTCAGTGTACTCCTTGTTCTATTCTTTCTCCCCTTCTCACTACTGTGCTTGACTAATCTAAAAAATTTTTTAAATCAGGTCACTCACCAAAATAAACCAATAGAGTACATCAAAAATTTTCAATTTAACTATTGTAGTGAAAAAAAAGGATCCCTAGTTTGAGAGAAAAAGGTTTTCATAATCTGGCCTCATTTACTGATGGTTAAACCAGGCCAGGACCATTTCAAATGCTAACCTAGAAACCGGCTGGGCTAGGTCTTCCAGAGTGACTGTGAGACGCATGGCTTAGAGTGGGACAACACGAAGCACAACTGTAAATGGTTCACTTGACAGTATCTTTGTAGCTAAAACAGGGCTTGAACTGGCTACATATGCTTAAAGGTTCTATGGTTCTTTTCAGTCTTTTAGCCCAGCAAAGCAAAAGGTTTATGGTTGCCAACTGCTGCCACCTACTGGCAAAGACAGAGCATGCACCCCGCCAGCGCCAGGAAGGTGCAGTGCAAACTTAAGGCTGGAATTGTGACCCTACAGTGAATTCAGATTTTACACCTCCCATTCCAACCAGCAGAGGGCATTGATTTTGTTTGTTTGTTTGTTTTAAACCAGACTCCAAGTCTTAAAGTCTCTTCAAAGAAAAATCAATGGGAGCCTGGGCGTGGTGGCTCACGCTTGTAATCCCAGCTACTTGGGACTCTGAGGCAGGAGAATCACTTGAATCTGGGAGGCAGAGGGTGCAGTGAGGTGAGATCGCACCACTGCACTCCGGCCTGGGCGACAGAGCGAGACTCCACCTCAAAAAAAAAAAAAAAAAAAAAAAAAGGCAAGGGAACACAGGTCAGCTCAGCAAGTATAAGCCTGGGGGCCGAGGCCAGGATGCTGCCTGTTTTGCAAATGCAGCTTCACTGGCACAAAGCCACCCTGCGCGTTTAGTACTGTCGGAAGCTAATGTGGAGCTGCAACAATTTAGTAGCTAGCAGCCAGAAAGCTGAAGTCCTGGAAAGCCTGCAGTATTTACCACCTGCAGGCCTTTGGGGAGCAGTTGGTCCACCCCTGAGCAGGGGAGTTTCTCACTGTGTTTGCTGTGAACAAAACAATGGTAGGTTAATGTGTTCCTAAGCTGCCCTCATTACTGCTTTTGTGAAGTATAGTTTTGAAGTCATAACTACACAGAGATCTTCCAACCTACAAATTGTGTCTATACATTTCTAAGCCTTGTTTGCAGAATAAACAGGGCATTCAGCAATTTGAAACCCCTCTGGTTTCAAATCCCGGGTCTGCCATTTAGTGGCTGTCTGACCTCTCTGAGCCTCACTTTTTGGTAAAATGAGAATGACACCAACCCACCAAACAAACAGTACTAAGCAGCGGTGGTATGCAGTGGCATTACAGAGGCTGGGTGAGGGCAGCCTTTTCACCAGCAATCCTGAAGCAGGTTTATCCTCAGGCAATGGATGAGGAAACAGGCTCAGAGAGACTAAGGAACCTTCCCAATGTGAGTGGGGAAGCTGGGGCCACACCATGATGCCAGGCTCCAGAGACCCTGCTCTTCACTGCTCAGGTGTGGGACCAAGCATGCGGATGCCATAAAACAGTGGACAAATGAGAAAGAAAACCAGACATCAGTTATAACTTACTTATTTTAAAATCTGAGGAATTAAAAGACTATGGGGGCTGGGGCTCGTGGCACACACCTGTAATTCCAGCATTTTGGGAGACCAAGGCAGGAGAATCATTTGAACTCAGGAGTTTAAGTACAGCCTGGGCAACATAGGGAGACCCTGAATCTACAAAAAAAAAAAAAAACAAAACACTATCCCCTTCAGATGGGATTGCTTATCTCAGGAGAAACTGTCACATTGATCTTTCAAGCTCACGATGCAGAAAAGGGCCTCACCCAGAGCAGACCCTAAGTGGCCACTGCAGCTCTACCTCTCAAAGTGTCCTGAAGGGGTAGACATTTCAAGTATCCATTTCTTACAATAGGGGTTACTGACTAAATCCAACGCCTAGTAACTTAAACGTGGGTGGGAGCCTAGCTACCACAGAGCAGGGGAGGGGCAGGAAGGCAAAACTGGATGCAAGGCAGAGGGCTGGGCTTGAGCTCTGGCCGCAGTCTCCTTGTTTGTGAAGCCAGAATAATATCACCTGCCTTGCTAGGCACTGGAGACCATGAGGCTCCACCAAAATAATGTAGGGGAATGTGTTTTTTGTAAACTCCGAGTGTGTGAGCATCAACAATCTGATATTTTTCTATGACTGACTAACCTCAATGTTTTTGAGGCACTAAAGGAAAACAGATGCAATAGGCATACCTTCAGGTAATGCAGGAACCTGTTCTGCTAAATCTTCCCTCTGAACAGATCACAAAGACAGCCCAGTTCTGCTCTTTCCAACTCTCTAAAATCCCTCTATCAGCTTAAATTCCTATATTTAAAATGCCCAGAAACCAGAGCCTTTTTAAAAAGTACCAATTTTCCTGCAGATAGTTTTAATAAAAACATAGTATCTTCCTAAGCAACTAAAATAAAACCATGAGCAGGGCACAGTGGTTTACCTCTGTAATCCTAGTATTTTGGGAGGCCAAGCCAGAAGGATCACTTGAGGCCAGGAGTTTAAGACCAGCCTGTGCAATATAGTTAAACCCTGTTTCTAAAACAAAATTTAAAAACTAGTCAAGTGTGGTGGCTCCTGCCCATACTTCCAGCACCTGGGAGGCTGAGGTGATACAACTGCCTGATCCCAAGAGGTGGAGGTTACAGTGAACTGAGATCACACCACTGCTCTCCATCCTGGTGACAGAGCGAGCCTCTGTCTCAAATAAATAAATAAACCAACCATGGATTTTCAGAAAAACACTGCTCTCAATCAATATAAGTGTATGAAAAACGTACAACACCAAGAGAGAACCCTGATGTAAACTGCGGACTCTGGATGACGATGTGTCAATGTACGTGCAGATTCTGGTGCAGGATGCTGACAGCAGGGGAGGCTATGCTTGGCTGGGGGTGGGGTGGGGTGAGGAGTGGGTGAAGAAGATGGGAATTTCACTGTGAACCTAAAACTGCTCTAAAAAGGCAAAGTTTAGTAATTAAAAAACATGCAGTGTAATGAATTATTGAGAAACATTCAGTTTACCCTGCCCCCATGGCTCCCTTGCGGAAGTTACTTTTAGTTTGTAATTAGTGGTAGGCAGGTAATAGCTGCCTACCTGGTATTCCTGAATTACGTGTATATGTGGAACATCTGTGTATTAATAATCACCTGTCAAAGAGCAAATAAATGCATGGATGAACCTCTCTGCTCAGGGCCTTCAGCCTGGAGAGCCGTCAGCCCCACAGGCTCTCAGGCTGTTGGTCCCCAGGAAAGATCCACTCTGTTGTGCTGTCTGGGTGTCTGCCTCTCAAATACCTTTATCGCCGCCTGGGTGGGGGTCTCCCAACCCAGCGGGTTCTCAGTAATGAAAAGTGCATCACTTTTAAAAGGGAGCTCAGTTACACTCACAACGGCATTCAAGGATGTTCATTATGGCATGACTTACAAGGGCAAAACCACCTCTGTGCCCACCCCCAGGAGAAGGTTACATACAGCATGTCACATTCCAACACTGAACTAGCAGCTGCACTTAACAGGATGAAGCAAATCTAATAAATCTACATGTGCTGTTAAAAGATAACATAAGACATGACACTAAGTTAAAATGCAAGCTGCGGAACAACACATTTAGATCTCATAGTTAAAAAGGATAATGACTATGTGCAGATAAAATTCTACAGTTATACAAGAAACTTTTTTTTTTTTTGAGATAGGGTCTTGCTCTGTCCCCCAGGCCAGAGTGCAGTGGTGAGATCACAGCTCATCACAGCTTTGACCTCCCGGGCTTAAGTGACCATTGCATCTCAGCCTCCCAAGCAGCCGTAACTACCAGTGTGCTTCACCACGCCTGGCTAATGTTTTCTGTATTTTTAGTAGAGATGGAGTTTCACCATGTTGCCCAGACTGGTCTCAAACTCCTGGGCTCAAATGATCCATCTGCCTCAGTCTCCCATAGTATTGGGATTACAGGTGGGAGCCACTGCACCCAGTCTACAAGAAACTTTTAGCAGAAGTTACCTGTGAGAAGTAGAGAGGGGCGGGAAGACAAAGGAGAAACATTTGTTTTTACTTCACATCCCTTCTCTAATATTTCCATTTTTAATCATCAACAGAAGTTACTTTTATAAAAATAAATTAGTAAAAACTAAATGTCTAGCTGATATTTAAAAAGAAACACACCAGCAAGGAAGTATGTCTGCAACTGGTTCTCAGAGCAATGTCCATTTGACTTTGAACTGGGGGTCAAAGGGCATACTCTGAAACTGCTGTGGAGATTGAAAGTTTGCTCTCAGGCAGCTGGCTAAGTATTTAATCAAAATGCTAGTTAAACCTGATTTCATTAATATTTTCACCTGCAGTGATCCAGAATCCAAATGGCCATTGGTGCTGGCCACACACCCCACCCATTGTACACACAGAGGCTGGCAAACACTGCCCCTCCAGCCCACAGTGAGTGGTGTCTCCCACCACACCCTGGCCCACAGAGAATCTCTATGAATTAGATTCTAGTTGAAAAACAACATTAAATGACAGGTTTTTTCTTTGTACATTAAAATACGGGCATATAGGCTGAGCACGGCGGTTCACGCCTGTAATCCCAGCCCTTTGGGAAGCCGAGGTGGGCAGATCACAAGGTCAGGAGTTTGAGACCAGCCTGACCAACAGGGAGAAACCACACCTCTATTAAAAATACAAAAATTAGCTAAGCATGGTGGCAGGTACCTGTAATCCAAGTTACTCAGGAGGCTGAGGCAGGAGAACTGCTTGAACCCGGGAGGCGGAGGTTGCAGTGAGCTGAGATCACGCCACTGCACTCCAGCCTGGGCAACAGAGTGAGACTATGTCTCAAAAAAAAAAAAAATACAAGTATATACTTACCTCCGTTCATCATTTTGTCTTTAGCAAGCGGATGTGTTGTAACTTTACTTCCAAAACCTATTTCATGAGCCAACAGAGCAGTAGGACCTAAAAACAAAAACGAAAAGATATAAGTGCAGATATAGAAAAACACCATGTTTAAAAAATTGCAACACTGCCTGGCATGGTGGCTCACACCTGTAATCCCAGCACTTGGGGAGACCTAGGAAGAAAAACTGCTTGAGCCCAGGACTTCAAAATCAGCCCGGGCAACACAGACCCCTTCTCAACAGCAAAGTAGACTTAAAAATCAAGAGGCTCTTACCAAACATACTGCTGTGATTCTGAAATAAAACACTTCTTAGTATGAGGGATAAACTGTGTTTATAAAAAACAAATTGCTGAGCACATCTGGCAAAAGCACAGAAACTCCAAATACTTCAAAAACCACTCAAGAAGATTTACCTTGACACCAGCAGAGCATACACAGATAAACAAAATGTGCTCATTTCTCTCCTCTCCCCCACCGCCAGAACAGAGACCAAATGTACCAGCAATCCAAAGGAGGGGGAGGTCACTGAGGGGCGGGCTCAACTTCTTACCTCACTCTCAGCAAAGAAAGATTTAGTTACATGCTAAAGTCAAGTAGTACTCTTGAGTTTTTGGATCTTATTGCTCTTTTATAATTTTATTTTCTACTTGAAAATGGGAAATTAACACTAATTCATCCACCTATCCATCCAAACATAGAAGGTGGTAGGATTAAAATGAAAGCACACTGCCCCTGAAGGCGATACCCTGTGAAGTGCCTGAAGTGTGAGATATAGAGGCGCTAGCATCACTTTATGAAAGCTACTTATGCAAAGAACCACATGGAAGTGTCAGTTAATGAAGTCTTTCAAAATGGGCAGGTCCTAACTGAATATTTTTATTTGAATGTATTCAGTAAAAAAATGGCCAACTTCAGGGAAAGTCACAGCATACTGCGTATGTAATGGTCCTCAAATAAGGATTTTAAAAAAGCTATTTTATTCCTTTAGTTGTTACTTCATCTTAAAGCTTTTTACAAAGTATTTATTCTGCCTTTTTATCTAAGCACACATATAAAAATTCTTCCTAAGGCCTCACATGACACCCAGAAGAATATGTTTCAGAACAGCACCCTGCCCTTGGAAACGCTCAGGGTGCTGTGGGCAGCTAAGATCCCATGGCACAGTCTGTACACTTTTGGTGTCAGCAAACCTGAGAGGTCTTGGTTTTACTGACCTTTCATTTTTCAACAAGACTCCAAGGAAGGAGTTATATAACAAACCCACGGGCTACTCAGACCGTAGCTGTTACAAACAGGAAGATCACACAAATATTACCTAGTTATATAAGCTTTCTGCCTAATAATCAGGTATCAGTTTCAGACCAAGTCCTGATTTTTAGCTCTTAAACCAAAAGCCTCAAATGTTTCTTCTCCACATTACTTTCTGCACACAAGACAGCTGTGTATAGTAGCAAATTTTAAAAATCTGTAAGAAATTGAATAATTTCACTCAGTTTTTATTTGAATGAATTCATAAATTGCCTTTAATTTTTATTTGGTAAAAGTTTAAGAAGAAATTCCTACATCATCTTGTATTTTAAAGTAAACTTTAACAGATGATTGTACAGTGAGGATTGGCAAGTGAGAATTTTTAGGTTGCTCCCTTCAAGGTGGTAAAATCACTGCTGCAACGATGTGAATTTACATTACAGTTGAATGCAGGAGTTTACGGATGTCTTTATTGCTCATCATAATAAGCTCATAATTCCTGCTTTCTGGGGCTTCAGAATCCTATTTGGAATATCAGAGAAGAGACGATTCACACTTGTAGGACCTGGGATTCTGATGGATGAAAACACTGCACTATGGTGGATGCGGAGGGTGCAGCTGACCACATCCCCTTCTGCAGCCAACAGCACCACCCTGTGGTGACTTACAAAATGACCACCTCTGCCAACTCCCCAGCTCCTCCAGGTGGCCAAGACCTGGGCATCGTAGCTGAAAATTGTCCACTCCAACTCCACACTTCCTTCCACTCCCCTACTCAAAGTAAATCTTATTTAATTTTCTTCTCAACACAGACTCCCTTCCAACTTGCCTTCCTCATTCACTCAACATTAAGGGCTAGACTAATATTTTTTGCGTTCAAAACGTTTCCAATTCCTAACTGCAACACTTCAGAAGAATAATCTTATTTTTCCGTTTGTCAGTTTAAAAGATCCAAATCTCTACCATCACTCCTCGGTTCCATTCCCATCATCTTCCTCTCAATTAGCTCAGCTCATTATCACACTTTTTCCTATATTTGTGTAGTGCCCAGAACAGTGGTGCAGGATATCCAATAGTATAAACACACTGCTAGTGTTATTTTTTCTATTTTTAATTTTTTTAAAGAGACAGAGTCCTGCTCTGTCACTTGGGCTGACATGCAGTGGTGTGATCATCACAGCTAACTGTAACCTGTCTCCTGAGTAGCTGGGACTACAGGTGTGCACCAATACACTAGGTTGATGTTTAAAAAAATTTTTCTTGTAGGGGTGGAGTCTCACTATGTTGCCCAGGTTGGTCTTAAACTCCTGGGCTCAAGTGATCCTCCCACCTCAGTCTCCCAAAGTGCTAGGATTACAGCTATGAACCACCTCAGTCAGCCTATTTATTTTTAAAGTTGTTTTAAATTATTATAAGGCCCATGCTTCTTAGCATGGCATCTGAGGTAGCCTGAGCACAAAGTGACCCAGATGTGGTTGATCTTTTTTTTTTTTTTAAGACAGAGTCTTGCTCTGTCACCCAGGCTGGAGTGTAGTGGCATGATCTCAGCTCACTGCAACCTCCGCCTCCCGGATTCAAGCGATTCTTCTGTCTCAGCCTCCTAAGTAGCTGGAACTACAGGCATGCATCACCACGACCCGCTATTTTTTGTATTTTTATTATCTTATTTATTTTTTTGAGACAGAGTTTCACTCTTGTTGCCCAGGCTGGAGTGCAATGGTGCAAATATAGCTCACTGTATGCTCCACCTCCCAGGTTCAAGCGATTCTCCTGCCTTAGCCTCCTGCATAGCTGGGATTACAGGCATGCGCCACCACGCCCGGCTAATTTTGTATTTTTAGTAGAGACGTGGTTTTACTGTGTTGGTCAGGCTGGTCTCATACTCCCAACCTGAGGTGATCCTCCCACCTCAGCCACCCAAAGTGCTGGGATTACAGTTGTGAGCCACCATGCCTGGCCGCGGCTGATCATTTCACTACTTTTATGGCACAGGACAAACTGACATGCAGTCTTTTCTTTCAGCAGAATCATAATGAAACAAATTCAGCACAAACTCTTACTTTCTTCCTTTGGTCAAAGCATCTAGGACTGAGGTTTGTTCACAGCAGAAGGGCCAAAGAAAACCAAACTCAAGGGATTTGTCACTTTCTCTCCAGAGGGGTGCAGCTGCTTGGGCTGCAGGGACTGCATTGCCCTTTGGCAGAGATAATTTTGGTGGTCACCTCTGTGGTCCTTCCCAGCCTCTAATGCCACAGTTCTTAAACATTTAGGTCTTAGGATCCCTTTACCTTTTACGTGGGTTATATCTATGAACATCTGCCATATTAAAAGTTACTTTTTTGAGACAGTCTTGCTCTGTCACTCAGGCTGGAGTGCAGTGGTGCCATCTCAGCTCACTGCAACCTCTGCCTCCCAGGTTCAATAGATTCTACTGCCTCAGCCCCCTGAGAAGCCGGGATTACAGGTGTGCACCACCATGCCCTTAACTTTTGTATTTTTAGTAGAGACGGGGTCTAACCATGTTGGCATGGCTGGTTTCAAACTCTTGACCTCAAATAATCTGCCTACCTCGGCTTCCCAAAGTGCTGAGATTACAGGCATGTACCACCACGCCCAGCCAATTATTTTTAATGGCAAAAACCGCCAATTACTTTTGCACTAACCCAATAAAACTGGGAATTTTTTTTTTTTTGAGATGGAGTCTCACTCTGTCACCCAGTTTGGAGTGCAATGGCACGATCTTGGCTCACCGCAACCTCCACCTCCCGGGTTCAAGCAATTCTCCTGCCTCAGCCTTCCAAGTAGCTGGGATTATAGGTGCGCACCACCACACCAAACTATTTTTTGTATTTTTAAGTAGGGATGGGGTTTCATCATCTTGGTTGAGCTGGTCTCAAACACCTGACCTCGTGATCCACCTGCCTCAGCCTCCCAAAGTGCTGGAATTACAGGTGTGAGCCACGGTGCCCAGCTAAACTGGAAAACTATTAAAACATGAGAATAGATGCTCAAATGATGGCATCCTTCTCTGATGTCACTCCTGAAAGAATGAGAAGGAAAAAGGCAAGTAACACTTTGTTTGAAAGACATGGTCTCACTCTGTTACCCAGGCTGGAATGCAATCATAGCTCACTGCAGCCTCTAACTCCTGCCCTCAAGTGATCCTCCCACCTCGGCCTCCTGAGTAGCTGGGACTACAGGCACGCAGCACTGTACCTGGCTAATTTTGTTTGTTTGTTTGTTGAGATGGGGTCTGGCTATGTTGCCAAGGCTGGTCTCAAATTCCTGGCTTTCAAGAGATCCTCCTGCCGTGGCCTCCCAAAGTGCTCAGATTACAGGCATAAGCCACCACAACTAGCCCCTTGTTAGTATCTACTTTGACCTTGCAAGCGCTCCAAAAGAACTCTGAGAACCACTGATCGAATATATCAAGTCCCTGGGACCTCTGGCCTGTAACTTCTTTTAAAAAGCCTACTGTATTAACAAAATAACAACATGTTTTGATGTTGATGTTTACTAAACCATCTTTCATTCATTTGTTTATTCATTCAGTCTTCTGACAAATATTTAATAAAGATCTACAAGAAAGGTGCTGGCAGAAATTACAGCATGGGAAAAAATCAAGATGGGAGAACATCATCTGATATGAAAGCAACAAGAATGGATTTTAAAATGGTTATGAGAAAATAAAATAGTACTGAGGTATTATGATGAGAGGACATCTGTGAAGCACCAAATGTCCTTATTCTAAATTATGTGGCAGATAATATGGTGCCTAAGATCACTAGGTACTGAAAGAATCAGAAGCTCCTGGGAAGCCAGCAGAAAACACCGTGGGGCTTCTGAATCTGCAGAGCAAGCACGGGGCAGAGTTGTTGTGTTGATGTCTGACAGATTCTTGCTGACTGTGTGCTGGCACAAAGACTTTCTGGCACAGAGATTTGCTGTAACAAGCTGTTTACTGAATTCCAGAGGGCCTTGTTTTCCTCCGAGTCAACCAAACACGGAAAACACCAAGTTTCACAGAATGTAGACCAAAGGCAAGGAGAGGCAGAAAACGGAACAATTGTCCTCATTTCTGAAATGACACCAACTTGATGCCACCCAAACTAAATACACCAACACAGATGCCCTGCATGCTTTATGAAGGGGAAGAGCTATTTGGAGTCAAACTATCAAATGAAAGGCTACCCCACCCACCAACAACACTGCAACACAGACTGCCCCTGCGCGTCACCTGCACAGATGGCGGCTATCAGGCCCTTCCGGTTTTCCTGTTCCTTCAGTATCTCCTTCACAGCAGCAGACTGGTGAAAAGAAAACAAAAAATACATCAAGTTATCATTATACCACTACCCAATCACTCACCAGGAAACTTGGGAAGAATCTGATTTTAGCTTAACCCACAAGCTCTCTGACCTATTTTCCAACAATATTTCTAAATCACTGGTATACAAATAATCAAAGTGTATCTATATTGTTAAGCCCAAGTAAGGTATTTCTTCGAAGAGAAACACATTCCCCCACATTTAAAGATCAGAAAAGAAAGCAATTTGACCCCTGCCATTTTGTACTCCAGGGAGAAAGAAATAGAAGAGAGGGAATGTGGGGTTTTGGGTGTTTTCAGATGGCAGAAAGACAGACTCTAGCAGGAAGCAACCTCTTGCATCTGACTCAACCCACTTCTAGCAGCCCCAACTCTGCCTGCGATGTGCCCCTCACCCTGGCCTCCGACTCCTCCCATATGACTTAAAAGGAGGAACAGCAGTCTCTGCTGATGGCATCTGTCATTCCTGCTGGTAGCTCTAGCCCCACGACCTCCCCCACTTCAGACTGGTAGGTAGAGTAGACAATTTGCCCTTCCCAAAACACAAAATCTGATTCTTTTGTTGGTGGAAAAAAATGAAATAATCTTACTTTGGACTATATTCACTGAAATTTGTTCGTAACTGTTCCGCCAATTCAGCTTACTTCCACGGCAACTTGTGTGTGTGTGTGTGTGTGTGTGTGTGTGTGTGTGTGTGGATGAGACAGGTTCTTGCTCTGCTGCCCAGGCTAGAATGCAGTGGTGCAATCACAGCTCACTGCAGCCTCAAACTTCTGGGCTCAAGCCATCCTCCCACCATAGCCTCCCGAGTACCTGGGACTACAGGTGTGCACCACCATGCCCAGCTAATTAAAAGAATTTTTTTTTGGAGAGATAGGGTCTCAATGTGTTACTCAGGCTCGTCTCAAACTCTGCGCCTCAAGCAATCCTCCTGCCTCAGCCTCTAAAAGCATTGGGTTTACAGGCATGATTCACTGCACCTGACCTCCACAGAAAATATTAAAAATGTTTTTTTGAGACTGGGTGCGGGGGTTCACACCTATAATTCCAGCACTTTGGGAGGCCGAGGTAGGTGGATCACAAGGTCAGGAGTTGAGACCAGCCTGGCCAACATGGTGAAACCCTGTCTCTAATAAAAATACAAAAATTAGTAGGTGCGTGCCTGTAATCCCAGCTACTGTGGAGGCTGAGGCAGGAGAACTGCTTGAACTCAGGAGGCGGAGATTGCAGTGAGCTGAGATCGTGCCACTACACTCCAGCCTGGGTGACAGAGCAAGACTCCGTCTCAAAAAAAAAAGTTTGAGTTAATGCTACAATACCATTTTGTTAATTTTAATTGTTTCTATTTTATTCACAGTCTCCTCCCTGAATTATCTGAATAATAACAAAATCAACAGAATATAAGCAGATGCTATTGAGGTATAATTGAATAGAATTTTACCTCAGATAAATTCTGTGCACCCAGATTACCTCCTGGTAGAACCACCACGTCATATGGTCCCTGTAACAGTTTAAAACATAAAGAAAACGAAAATATTTCATTTCAAATGAGCATTAAAGTGACAGTCCAATAATACCTTCCTATTTTAAATGTGGGAAATATAGGAGATAGACTAAACATCTGCCAATGGAAAAGTTAAATAAATTAACGTGTATCCGTATGATGGAATGTTGTTTCAAACCTGTATACCACTGTATTAAAGGATGTCCACACTGTGGAGTAGCTGGGGTAGTATAATCTCCCCCCTGTAAAAGACAGGGATATATGTTTGTGTGTAGATGTATGGGTGGTAGGTGTATAATCATCACAAGCACCCCGACCCCACATATTGTGTATACAGGTAGTCACAAAGCAAGACACTCTAGTTGCTAATGGGAGTAGTGTGGGATGGGGCAGAAGGAGAATGAGAATAGGACACTTAACATTTCGACTTTGTCTATGTCCATATTGTTTGAATTATTCTTCAACAAGAATGAAGCATTCTTCTATTTAATATTTTCTATTAAAAAAATTAATAGAAAAACAGGCTGGGCATGTCTGTAATCCCACCACTTTGGTAGGCTGAGGCGGGCAGATTATCTGAGCTCAGGAGAGTTCAAGACCAGCCTGGACAACATGGCAAAACTCTGTCTCTACTAAAAATACAAAAATTAGCCAGACTTGGTGGTGCATGCCTGTTAGACCCAACTACTTAGGGGGGAATGAGGCAGGAGAATCGCTTGAACCTAGGAGGAGGAGGCTGCAGTGAACTGAGGGTGCGCCACTGCACGCTAGCCTAAGTGACAGAGCCAGACTCTATCTCAAAAAAGAAAAAAAAAATTAATACAAAAAACTTTATGAAGTCAAAAAAAATTTTTTTGTGCCTTTTACTTAAAAAGTTACATTTTAACTTTAAAAAATGTAACGGGGGAGAATTTTAGTATCCCCCCTCAAAAAAATTCCTAGAAATCTAATTAATTTCAAACTTCCTGAAATTACAAAATGGAAATTTTGTATTGTACTTTAGGATGTTAAAAAGAGGTTTAAAAAAATCTAGTCATTAAACAAATTACAAAATAAAAATGTATTATGTATTTAGTGCAATCTATACTTTAAAAATTATTTAGAGACAGGGCCTCATTGTCACCAAGGCTAGAGTGCAGTGGTGCAATATAGCTCACTACAGCCTTGAACTCCTGCGCTCAAGCAACTCTCCTACTTTTGCCTCCCCTGTAGCTAGGACTACAGGCATGCATCACCACGGCCAGCTCATTTTTCTATTTTTGTAGAGACAGGGTCTTGCTATGTTGTCAGGCTAGTCTTTGAAACTCCTGGGCTCAAGTAATCCTCCCACCTCAGCCTCCCAAAGTGCTAGGATTTCAGGGGTAAACCACTGTGGCTGGCTCAGAATCACTTTTAAGACCATAAACATCCTACTATTGATGGAAAACCAAGCAAAGCTCAAAACTCAAAAGAAAATATGTAAAGTATAGAATTTGTTTGACTCCTTTTAGAATCTGCACTGAAAAATAAAAGCATGCAAAAGGTAACCACTTCCTCAAAAAACTCAGTAAACAGAACTACCATGTGGTCCAGCAATCCCACTATTGAGCATGTATCCAATGGAAAAGAGATCGGCCTACTGAAGAGACACTGGCACGCCCTTTTCACTGCAGCAATAGTCACACTAGCCAAGATATTAAATCAACCAAGTTCCAACAACAGATGAATGCATAAAGAAAACGTGGCATTTATACACAATGGAATACTATTCAGCCATAAAAAAGGAATGAAATCTTGTCATTTGTGGCTATAAGAATGGAACTAGAGGACATTCTATTAAGTGAAAGAAGCCAGGAACAGCAAATTAAACACTGCATGTTCTCACTCACATGTGAAAGCTAAAAAAAATTGACCACATAGAAGTAAAAAGTAGGACAGAGGATATTAGAGGCTGGGGAGGATAGAAGAAAGTGGGGATAGGGAGAGATTTGTTAAAAGATACAAAATTATAGCTAGATAAGAGGAATAAGTTTCGGTGTTCTATGCCCCTGTAGGATGACTATAGTTAACAATCATATATAGTTTCAAGTAGCAGGAGAATACTGAACATTCCCAACACAAGGAAATGATAAATGTTTGAGATGACGGATGTGCTAATCACTCTGATCTGATCACTATACATATGTATGGAAACATCATGTATCCCATGAATATATACACTTACTATCTATTGATTGAAAATAAAGGTAACCACTGTTTTAAAATACCCAGACACCACATGACAAAAACACAGAGATGAAAAAAAATTATTATTAGTTTTGAGACAGGGTCTCGCTCTGTCACCCAGGCTGAAGTGCAATGGCACACTGAAGTGCAGTAGTTCACTGCAGTCCTCAAATTCCTGCGCTCAAGCAGTTGTCTGGGCTCAAGTCATCCTCTTGCCTCAGCCTCTTGAGTAGCTAGAACTACAGGCATGCATCCCCATGCCTGGCTTTTAAAATGTTGCCCAGGCTGGTCTCAAAACTCCTGGCCTCAAGTGATCTTCCCACTTTGGCCTCCTAAAGTGCTGGGATCACAGGTGAGCCACTGCACTTGGCCTAGAATATTTACTTCTGCTTGTCATTCCTTTTTTTTTTTTTGAGACGGAATTTCGCTCTTGTTGCCTTGGCTGGAGTGCAGTGGCATGATCTCGGCTCACCACGACCTCCTCCTCCTGGGTTCAAGTGATTATCCTGCCTCAAACTTCCAAGTAGCTGGGATTACAGGCACCTACTACCACGCCCAGCTAATTTTGTATTTTTAGTCGAGACAGGGTTTCTCCATGTTGGTCAGGCTGGTCTCGAACTCCTGACCTCAGGTCATCTGCCCGCCTCAGCCTCCCAAAGTGCTGGGATTACAGGTGTAAGCCACTGCAGCCGGCCTGCTTGTTATTTTTAATTTATTTCAACAAATTATATCTAAATACCAACAGTCTAATTTTCTACAATCCAGTAATGAAAAATCTGAACTTATTAAAAAGGATTAAACTTTTTCCTATGTATCTGAGGACATTTCAGCACACGGAACCACACTCTAGGTTCCTCAGCAGTGCACAACCAGCCATTTGTGAGCCAATTCTACCTCCTTTCTCACCATGACTCTGCTCCCAGAGGGCACAGTCCACACTCCTGTCACCCTGAGCCCACGACAGAGTGTGCAAAAGCACCTGTGGGGGAGCATGTTTTGAGGAAAGGGATGCTAGCTTCGAAAAGTGTCCACCGTCCTTAAAGGCGAGAACCGTAATTCTAAAGATATTGAAAAAGGAACACAACTAAAGTAGAACTCTAAGCGTAGCTTTAGAAAAAAGAATAATGGCCAGGCATGGCACATGCCTGTAGTCCCACCTACTTGGGGGATTGAGGTGGGAGGACTGCCTGAACCTGGGAGGTTGAGGCTGCAGTGAGCTGTGACTGTACCACTGGACTCCAGCCTAGGGGATGGAGCAGGACCCTGACTCTAAAATAGAAACAAACAAACAGGAAATGTGGCAATTGATTTACATCAGGTAAAAATGTGCAATAGGAGGCAAGGACACCTGTATAAGCCGGAAGAATCCTGATGGGAAGACAATGCAGCCATCAAGCTAAGCATCAACCCACCCATCTGGCCACACACCCACCCAGCCACCCACTTAGTACATTCAGTATCAAGCGATTGCCACATTCTATGGATACAGAATAGAAAGACAAAGTCCTCACCCTCTTAATTTGTCAGGGGAAGACATTCAAGCAAAATAATTTTCTAAAATGAGTCTGTGCTGACAATAGTCTTAGATACAGTAAAAAAACATTTCAAGAAACAAAGAAGCCGTATGAAGGAGTAACTCCATGTATGGATTACAAACCTCTTTTTTTGCATCTTCAAGACTGGCATCAGGACAAATCATGACATCACGGCTACACTGTACTGGGTCTTTTCCAGCCAGACCTGCAACGGTGACCTTTATCTACAAGAAATATATTATCATGATATTTAAGAACACTGAAACATAAAGAGTAACACTGTCTTCAAAAAAAAAAAAAAAAATAGGAGGAGATGGGGCCTCACCCTGTCACCTGGGCTAGAGGGCAGTGACATAATCATAGCTCACCGCAGCCTCCAGCTCCTGGGCTCAAATGATCCTCCTGCTTTAGCCTCCCAAGTAGCTGGGGTTACAGACATGAGCCATCACACCTGGCTAGAGTAACATTTACACAGCTGCCCTGTTTGAAAGTAACATGGCAGGAAATATTGCACCAAAACTATATCAAATTTAAACTAATACGTTGGCTAAATATATTTAATAACTAGGTCTGCCCTGGTTTGCCTGGGATAGACCCACTTTATAGCTGCTGCCCTGTACGCTGTGTGACTGGAACACCCTTTCTCCCACAAATGTTCTGGTTTGGGTGACCAGTTATATGATTATCCTATTAATGACTTATCTTGCAAGTTTACTATTGCCATTTAAACCTCATGGTATTTTTGTAAGACAGAAATGCAAGTCAAAATATTGAAATACTACTTTATCTTTCAAAAAATTTTAATGAGCTGGCACTGGGAAAGTGGGAATTTTCCTACACTGCTGGTGGGACTCCAAACTGGGACACTGGAGAGCAACTTGGCAAAACCTAATCATGCTGACTAGGGGCCATCCTTCGACCTAGTAATTCTACTTTTAGATATATAACGTGGAAAAACTTCCACACATTTGCGCAAGAAAACCTACACAAGAACAATTATTACAGAACTGTAATGCTGTAATTAGAGGAATGGGTAGATTGTGGCATTGAGTGCAACACCAAGCAGCAATTTTAAATGAATAAACTGAATTGACATGTATCTTCATTTGTGAGAACCAGAGGAGTATAGGGTTAACAGACTCTAGGGCCAAACTGCCTGGGTCTGAGTTCTCGCTTTTGTACTTACTATGTGACGTGGGTATTTTAGTGTCTCTGTGCCTCAGTTTCTTCAATCATAAAATGAGGATGGCAATATCTAACTCACAGGCAATACCTAACTCATGTTGTAAGGTTTATAAGCACTTAGAATGATGCCTGGCACAGAGTGAGTTCTACTTCAGTGTTCACTATTGTTAGATATAGAGAGATAATATATAAACACTCAGAATGAGAACCATAGTCAACTGCTACCTTAAAGACATGCATGGATGGATACACAATAGTGCGAGGAGAGCAGTTATCTTTAAGGAAGGAGGAAGGGGCACAGGATTGGAGAAATTTACAAAGAAGGCTTCAAATATATTTATTTGAAGCAATTGCTCTTTAAGAAATGAGGCTGAGGGGCCGGGCATGGTGGCTCACACCTGTAATCCCAGCACTGTGAAAGGCTGAGGCGGGTGGGTCACTTGAGGCCTGGCGTTTGAGACCAACCTGGCCAACATGATGAAACCCCATCTGTACTAAAAATACAAAAATTAGCTGGGCATGGTGGTGGACACCTGTAATCTCAGCTATTCAGGCAGCAGAGGCAGGAGAATCTCTTGAATCTGGGAAGTAGAGGTTGCAATGAGTAGAGATCATGCCACTGCACTGTAGCCTGGACGACAGAATGAGACACCATCTCAAAAAAAAAAAAAAAAAAAAGAAAGAAAGAAAGAAACGGGTCTGAGGACAGTGGGGTGGCTCACGTATGTAATCCTAACACTTTGGGAGGCCTGAGGCAGGTGGATAACTTGAGCTCAGGAGTTGGAGAGCAGCCTGAGCAAATTTCATGGTGAAACCCTGTCTCTAGAAAACATACAAAAATTAGCCAGGTGTGGCAGCATGCACCTGTAGTCCTAGCTACTTGGGAGGCTGAGGTGGGAAGATGGTTTGAGCTGAGGAGGCAGGGGCTGAAATGAGCCAAGATCATGCCATTGCACTCCAGCCTGGACGACAGAGCTCAAAACAAAAAAGAAATGGGTCTGAAGGAAATATGTCAAGACATTAACAAGTGTTAAATGTTGGCAGTGGATCAACAGGTATTTATTCTTAAGATCTCTGAAATTTTGTGTATAGTTGTAATATTTCACAAAGCACTATGAATATTATTTTATTCGAAATGATTTAAAAATCCAAAAATATGTAACAGGATGGCTAGAAATCTGTGTGGGACTTACCCCAGCTCGCCTCATGACATCTACAGGGATGACGGTCTCCATTTCCTCCGCTCCTTTAGCCAGGATGACCAGAGCTCTTTTGGAAGCCATTTTTATGTTTTAAAGGCTTAAAAAAAAAAGTTTCAAAAAACTTTCAAGGCAACCCTGGAATACCACAACATTTAAAGTTTAGGAACGTTTTCAAGCAGAATTAAGTACTTCCTAGGGAAATGGTTCTGACAGACAACTGAATATAAAAGCAGCAGTTTAGGTTAAGGTTGATTTGCATAGAAGCTTTCATTGTTTTGAGAAGAAAACACAGTGAGGGCGTTCCGAGGTGTAGTGTTGCTTAGAGTTTTCTACCATGTTCTCTTAAATCCAACTTTAATAATATATTGCAAATGGGCTTTTCTAAAATACAAGTACGTGGGTCTCACATTTCACACAATGCGGGCGGACAGTCTTCTCTGAAGTATCAGTTCAGAGAAAAGATTAAACTGAATTTCATGGGCAAAAATTTAAATATGGTCTTTTGCAATTAACCTGTAATTTTTTGGAGGGGATTTTTGTTTTTAGTTCCAATAACCGTACTAAAAAATTGTGTGTGGGGGGGTCAACGGTGTTAAATGTCTGAACACACTTTTTTTATGACTGAGAAAGATGGAAATCCGCCTCACTGATGTTAACCCAACTCCATTCTGCCTCTCCGTGCACAAAGTTCTCACTGCAAACGACAGCAGCTCAACGAGGTTCTCAATTTTTTTTTTTTTAGCCTATTTAAGGTTATCTGGAGATTTACCGTCCACGCAAAACAAAACGAGTTTCATAAAAACGGTTTCAACAAGCAGGATTAGCCAGTTCCATGCTGGGCGAGAGGTTAGGCAGAAGATTCTGGACGCTTCAGCGTTGCTACCACGCTGGCGGTCAGTCAAATCCAACGCCAGCGACAGGACCCGACTGGAAGGCCGGAGGCGAGGGCGGCCCAGACCCAGGCCCCGCGCCAGGGCTGACCCAGCGGGACACCGTCCAGCGCCCCCACGCCGCCAAGCGCCACGGCCCAGACACGCGCCGCGCCCCCGCTGGCCCTGATCTGCACCCCGCGCCTCTTCCTGCGGACGCGGCACCCCGGCCCGTCGGGAACCACTCACCCTATACCAGGCCGAAGGTGGACGCGCTCCAGCACGCACGCGCGCCGCCCGGCCTCCCTCAGCCGCACATTGCGCAGACTCGCGCGCCTTGGCGTCACACTGCGTCAGGTCCGGCCGAGCCTACCTCGGACCGAGGCGGGGGTGGTGCCGGGGAGTTTCTAGTTGAACAGGACTGAGTGAGGCGGCTGGCACCCGGATGGAACCCTCTACGAATGGCACAGTCTGGCCTGCCCGGGCGCCCGCAGTGCCTAACCGTCTCCGCGGCCACCGGGGATGAGGAGCGGGTCTCTGGAGCGGCGGAGGCACACGAGGTGCCGGCAGAGGGCTTTCTTTGTTCGCGCTGCGTTTACTTCTATTCCCTCTGCGTTGTTCCTCCTTCCTGGAGGGCCTTCCCGTTTCGCCCGTGGCCTGTTAGGACTCTTGTCCAGGCTTCCCTGGGCCTCTCCCCACGCCTGGTCTCCGGAACTCGGGCGACTGCGCATTTATTCACACCCGATGTCTCAGGGGTGTGTGTTTTTTTCCTTAGCATTGTTTTTTCAGCATCGTTTTTCCTTGTGCAGTGGCGCGATCTTGGCCCACTGCAACCTCCACCTCCCGGGTTCCAGAGATTCTTCCTTAGGCTCCCGAGTACCTGGGATTATAGGCGTGCGCCAATACGCTTGGATAGTTTTTGTATTTTTAGTAGAGATGGGGTTTCGTCATATTGGCCAGGCTGGTCTCGAACTCCTGATGACCTCAGGTGATCCACCGGCCTTGGCCTCCCAAAGTGCTGGGATTACAGGCGTGAGACACTGTGCCTGGCTGATACTTGCCTTTCTTTGCCTGGCTTGTTTCACTTAACATAATGACCTCCAGTTCCATCAATGTTGTTGCAAATAGGATTTTATTATTTTTTATGGCTGAATAGTAATCTATAGTGTATATTTACGTTTTCTTTATCCATTCATCCATTGATGAACACTTCTGTTGATTCCATATTTTGGCTGTTGTGAACAGTGCTACAATAAGCATGGGAGTGCAGATATCTCTTTGATGTACTGATGTCCATTCTGTTTTGGTTTGTTTTGTTTTTTAATACTCTCCATCTTGCTCTGTCACCCAGGCTGGAGTGCAGTGGCACCATCAGGGCTCACTGCAACCTCCGCCTGTGGGTTCAAACAATTCTCGTGCCTCAGCCTCCCGAGTAGCTGAGACTACAGGCGTGTGTCACCACACCTGGCTAATTTTTGTATTTTTAGTAGAGACAGGGTTTTACCATGTTGGTTAGCCTGCCTTGAACTCCTCACCTCAAGGGATCTGCCTTCCTCAGCCTCCCAAAGTGCTGGGATTGTAGGCATGAGCTATTGCTCCCAGCCATTCCTTTCTTTTTGATATATACCCAGTAGTGGGAGTGCTGGAACATACGGTAGTTCTGTTTTTCATCTTTTGAGGATTCCATACAGTTTTCCATAGTGGCTGCACTCATTTATATGCTTGCCAAGAGTGTATGAGGTTCCTTCTTTCTCCACATCCATGTCCATGTCGGCATGTTATTCCCTTTTTGATAAAAGGCATTTTAACTGGGGTGAGATGATAACTTACTGTCTTTATTTGCATTTCTCTGATTCGTGATATTGAGCCTCTTTTCATATCTTTGGCCATTTGTATCTCTTCAGAAATGTCTATTCAGATCTTTTGCCCACTTTTTTTTTTTTAAGAGATGGTGGGGGTTTCACCATGTTGGTCAGGTTGGTTTTGAACTCCCGACCTCAGGTGATCTGCCCACCTCAGCCTCCCAAAGTGCTGGGATTACAAGGGTGAGCCACCTCACCCACCTTTCCCACTTTTAAATTGGATTGTTTTCTTGCTATTGAGTTCCTAATAAATTCTAGTCATTAGTCACTCATCAAATGAATAAATTGCAAATAACTTTCTCCCATCCTGTGTGTTGTCTCTTTGCTTGTTTCTTTCTTTTTTTTTTTTTGAGACAAGAGTCTCACTCTGTTGCCCAGACTGGAATGCAGTGACACAATCTCGGCTCACTGCAACCTCTGCCTCCTGGGTTCAAGCAGTTCCCTGCCTCCGCCTCCTGAGTAGCTGAGATTACAGGCACACACCACCATGCCCGGCTAATTTCTGTGTTTTTAGTAGATATGGGGTTTCACCATCTTGGCCAGCCTTGTCTTGAATTCCTGACCTCGTGATTCACTCGCCTCAGCCTCCCAAAGTGCTGGCATTAGAGGCCTGAGCCACCGCGCCCGGCCCTGCTTTCTTTCTTTTTCTGTGCATACATTTTTTAGTTTGATGTAATCTCATTTGTCTGTTTTTGCTTTTGTTGCCTGTGCTTTGAGGTCTTTGCCCAGATCAATACCCTGGAACATTTCCCCAGTGTTTTCTTTTTCTTTCTTTCTTTCTTTTTTTTTTTCATCAGGGATATAGGCTTTGAGTTTTTTTTCTTTTCTTTGAGGGGTCCAAATTAAAAGAGGAAAGGGTAATATACTGGGAAGCAGGCGGTTTCACATAAACAAAAGGGGCAAAGAAAAAAATGGGATTAATCTGCATTTTACATAAAATAACATAGACAAATGGGGTAGGAGAACAACCAGATATGCATTTGTGTCTGGTGAGCCAGGATGACTGCACCTGTAAAGATAAAGCTATCAATTTGCATTGTCATGGTGAAGTTTTTTTTTTTTTTGAGAAGGAAAGAAAGAAAAAGGAGTGAAGGAGAGGAAAAAAGAGGAAGAGAGAACGGGAATGTTGCTTTATTCTAAAAATGGGTATTGAAAACCTCTTTTATGCCAATAATTGTGCTTAATAATGGCCGATCAATATTTCATTTAAACCTATGAGTAGGTGTGATGTGGTACTGACAAGAATGTATATTTTGTGTATTTTTTTTTTTTTTTTTTGAGATGGAGTTTCGCTCTTGTTACCCAGGCTGGAGTGCAATGGCGCAATCTCAGCTCATCGCAACCTCCGCCTCCTGGGTTCAGGCAATTCTCCTGCCTCAGCCTCCCGAGTAGCTGGGATTACAGGCATGCGCCACCATGCCCAGCTAATTTTTTTTTTTTTGTATTTTTAGTAGAGACGGGGTTTCACCATGTTGACCAGGATGGTCTCGATCTCTTGACCTCGTGATCCACCTGCCTCGGCCTCCCAAAGTGCTGGGATTACAGGCTTGAGCCACCGCACCCGGCCCTATTTTGTGTATTTAAAGTGGAGAGTCCCTAGACTCCCACACAATAATAGTGGGAGACTTCAACATCAATATTAGATAGATCAACAAGACAGAAAATTAATAAGGATATCCAGGACTTGAACTCAGATCCGGAACAAGTAAACTTAAACATTTATAGAGCTCTTCACTTTTTTTTGAGACAGAGTGTCACTCAGCCACCCAGGCTGGAGTGTAGTGATGTGATCTTGGCTCACTGTATCCACAGTCTCCTGGGTTCAAGCGATTCTCCCATCTCAGCTACCCAAGTAGCTGGGGCAGATATCCACCGTGATGCCCGGCTAATTGTATTTTAGTAGAGACAGGGATTCACCACATTGGCTAGGCAGGTCTTGAACTCCTGACCTCAGGTGATCCACCCGCCTCGGTCTCCCGAAGTGCTAGGCTTACAGGCATGAGCCACCATGCCTGGGTCCCCAGTGTTTTCTTCTAGTAGTTTATTTATTTTGAGATGGAGTCTCGCTCTGTTGCCCAGAGCTGGAGTGCAATGGTGCCATCTCAGCTTATTGCAACCGCCACCTCCCAGGTTCAAGCAGTTCTCCCAAGTAGATGGGATTATAAGCACTCGCCATCATGCCCAGCTAATTTTTGTGTTTTTTAAAATTATATTATACTTTAAGTTCTGGGGTACATGTGCAGCTCATGCAGGATTATAATGTAGGTAATTTTTGTATTTTTGTAGAGACGGGGTTTCATGGTGTTGGCCAGGCTGGTCCTGAGCTCCTGGCCTCAGGAGATCTGCCTGCCTCTGCCTCCCAAAGTGCTGGGATTACAGGTGTGAGCCTCCACACCAGGCCTCTTCTAGCAGTTTCATAGTTTCAGGTCTTAGATTTAAGTCTTTGATCCATGTGGATTTGATTTTTGTATGTGGTGAGAGATAGGGGTCTAATTTCATTCTTCTGCTTATGGTTTTCCAGTTTTTCCAGCACCATTTATTGAAGATGCTGTCTTTTCCCTCAGATTTTATTTATTTATTTTTACTAGTATATATTTTTTGAGACAGTGTCCCTCTGCTGCCCAGGCTGGAGTGCAGTGGTGTGATCTCAGCTCACTGCATCCTCTGCCTCCCAGCTTCTAGTGATTCTTGTGCCTCAGCCTCCTAAATAGCTAGGACTGCAGGGATGCGCCACCCAAACCCCCCAGGTAATTTTTGTATTTTTAGCAGAGACAGGGTTTCATGACGTTGGCCAGGCTGGTCTCAAACTCCTGGCCTCAAGCTCCCCAAAGTGCTGAGATTACAGGCATGAGTCACCATGCCCCGCCTCAAATTTTATTTTTAAAACAGTTTTTGAATACTGATACTTGATTTTTTAAAAATCAAGATGATAAGGATCACATTGAACACACATATGCCTGTCCCTATCCAGTTCCATGGCCACTGCCTCACGTTACGTTACCAGCTTCTTTTTTTTTTGAGACGGAGTTTCGCTCTTGTTACCCAGGCTGGAGTGCAGTGGCGTGATCTCGGCTCACCACAACCTCCGCCTCCTGGGTTCAGGCAATTCT